AGAGAGAGATAATGTGTGTGTGTGTGTGTGTGTGTGTGTGTGTGTGTGTGTGTGTGTGTGTGTGTGTGCTGTGAAGGAAAGGGGTGGGGGAGGGAGAAATAGTCGACGTGAATGACGGCCGGTCAGTTCTATAAACCAGGAGCCGTCAATGCTTAAAGCTTCAAAATTGTATATGTTGTATGTGTTCGTGTGTGTGCGTATGTTTGTGTGTGTTCGCTTGTGTATAGCGAGAAAGGAAGAGATGAGACAGATAGACAAACATATTAGATAAGTGAGGCCCATAGGAAGAACGAGACAGAGAGAAAGAGAGAGCGAGAGAAAGAACTAAAGATATATATATATATATATATATATATATATATATATATAGATAGATAGATAGATAGAGAGAGAGAGAGAGAGAGAGAGAGAGAGAGTGTGTGTATGTGTGTGTGTGTGTGTGTGTGTGTGTGTGTGTGTGTGTGTGTGTGTGTGTGAGAGAGAGAGAGAGAGAGAGCGAGTAAAGGAAAAAGAGTCAGACAGACACACAGACAAACAGACAGCGCCCAGGCAGCCAGCCAGCGAGCAAGCTAGCAGGTTTGGGTTGATTTAAATCAGGTTGATTTAAATCAGTTGATTTTTTTTATTTAAATCAACTTGATTTTTTAAATAAAAATCGTTGATTTAAATCACTTAAAATTTTTTTTTAAAATTCAGTTTTTACACATTTCAACTTTCAGAATTCCTGTCCTTAGTTTCATAAAACAGATATAAGGTTTAGTAGACTAATATGATCATGCTTAAAAGTCTGCCCCTTTCACTGTAAAATAATACAGTATTCAATTTACTTTTTTTTCCGTAATTGAAATCAGAGCTGGGTTGATTTTAAATCAGTTGTTTTTTTAAATTTTGATCAACTTGATTTTTACAATAAAAATCAGTGATTTAAATCACTTTAAAAAATGTATACAGTTTTTACATATTTAAACATTCAGAATTCCTTTCCTTGGTTTTATTAAACAGATATAAGGTTTAGTAGACTAATATAATCATGCTTAAAAGTCTGCTTTCCCTCCTGTCACTGTAAAATAATATTTAGTTCTCAGTTTACTTTTTTTTCATAATTGAAAACCAGGGTTGGGTTGATTTAAATCAGGTCCATTTAAATCAGTTGATTAAATATTTTTTAAAAATT